AACCAACTCTCAATAAAAAGCAAACATCGCTTCGACATTCCCATTCCACACCAGTGTTGGAGAGGTACACCGATGGAGAGGAATCACCCGGAGGACAGCTGGCCAGAGAAATCATTAAAAGAGGCGATATTGTTGCACAAAATCAGGTTTCTATGAGGTGTTCGATCATTGTTGGGGAATGATCATGATTTGATTGCAGATGCGAGCACCTCAGGTTGCATCTTCCCCTCTCAACAGTTACGCGAAGGCTGAAGCACATCACTTAGCGAAACAACTTAGAGATTTGATTGCGCATTTAGATATCGTCAGTGAGGAGCATCGGCACAAGATCAGTGAGGTTGTCTTATTACTGTTGTTTGCTGTATTATATAATCGGTTGTGAATTCAGTTCGATGAAGTGTACGATGGACTGGTGTCAGAGAATGATCAGTTGCAAAATCAAATCAGAGCACTGAATCAGCGAATCAAACAACTCGAAGAGACTGATCAACTTCGAAATGAAACGCTGACAATGTTAAAAGAAAGTGAGAGGACTAGGATGGAGGATTTGAAACAGCTGAAACGAGAGAATGCTTTGTTGACGAGGAAACAACGTTCGAAAGAGAGCGATGACAGCACAATGGTACAGATTTGTAAGGAACAGGTGAGTGTTGGCTGGCTTATTTCAAATTTCACGAAGAGATGGTTGATTTGTTGTTGCAGATGGAGGAATTGAAAAAGTCGAAACGTGATTTGGAACGACAAAGGATTGATCAACGCGCACAAATCCGCAAACTGGAGACGACGATCAAAGAGAAAGATAAGAGGATCGACGAGATTGCTGCCGAAAAAGAACGTTTGGAGAGGAGATTCAAAGCGGTTTCGGTAAAATTAACTTCTCAGCTGCAATGATTTGAATTCACTGGGACAAACGGGTGTTAAAAAGTGATGTTGAAGAGTGAACAAGCGAAAGTTCGTGGACGTCGAGCTGAAGAGACGCTGTATCAAGAGGCGGTTGAGCGAGCATCTAATAAGGCACCTGTGACGATGGCAGCGAAACGTATTGGTGGCATGACATACAATTACAGCAGTAATCCGAAAGTGAGTTGAATGCAACTGAGTTCGTTTTGTGTATTGAGATTGTCATTCGTCTTATTACTGTTGCTCAAATTGAATTGTTTTCTAGGAGAATTTAATAGCAAAAAATGGTAGTGATACAAGAGGAATACGACGGTCTGATGAGCGCACGGAAAGCAGTGCGTCAGAACGCAGAGAAGAAGCACTCTTGTTGGATTCTACACCGCGATCACAGAGTCCTGTCAATGGGGTTGTTCCTGTTAGTGGTATGGGAGTGGGTAAATCAGTTCGTTGGAATGAGCCGTTAACAACTGAATTATTCTTTTCACCACCTTCTGAAAGGCAAGAAACTGAACGGTCATCTAATGAAAGCAGTGTTAACGTACATCAAGGATCAGTTGAGCCGAATGCGGACATGGTTAGTGATTAATTTGTTAATAGATATGTCTTTAAAGTGTGATCGTAATTCAGCAATTAGTGCGAGTCGAAGACAATATTATCGGACGTGCATCGTTATTTCAAAGTGTGGCTGACTTCACTGTATACACACGTACTCATTGCGGTTGTAATTATTATGAATACAGCAATACGGACACACGTTGGGTACATCCTTCGCATAAATATCAAGTAATTCATGATTGCGATCAATTTTATGCATTTCATTTTAAATTTTGCATTTCATGCAGGAGTTGCAATGAAAGATTGAGGTACGGGTTTAATTTGGATTTTGACTGGTGAATGGACAAATTAAATGCGAAATAAATGGCGATATTCAGGTAAACTATTACGGTCAAATGGGTGCAACGACGGTACAAATAGAGAGTGGTGTGTTGCTGGTGAGGCATTTCCTGAACGGACAGTTAGAGATATATCGGCAATCGGGTGAAATCACTCTTGTCACTTCATCGGGACGCAGAATCGAAATTATCAAAGACGAAAATGGACTGAAACGTATCGAAATGTTCGGTTCAGTTAGATTTCTGCGGCTGTTTTTGCTTATTTGTAGTTATTGGTGGTTTGTTGATCGCCGTCAAATATTGATGTGCTCGTAA